GGATTTAATGCGTGTACCGCGTTTACGTGGTGTTACGTGCGGTGTACCGCGGGGTACGTTCGTGTATCTGCGTGTACGTGCGTGTACCCGCGTGCTTACGTGCGTGTATCTGGTGTACGTGCGTGTTACCGACGGTGTACGTGCGTGGTACTTCTGCGTTGTAGCGCGTGTGTGTACCTGCGTGTACCCTGCCCAAGTTACCATTCATCCAGCGGCGAAACAGCCGGCTCGCCACCACCATCATCACTAGAGTTATCTGCCGATGATTCACTTCCATCAATATCACCAACTACACATCGGTTCATACCACAATAGCATCGGTTCATACTCATACGGCAGAACCACTCTTTCACACACTGTCAAGTCATCGTCTTCGGAGTCAACAAAGTCATCGTTCTCAGCCATTTCGCAATCACCACAGAAAGCGGACGTCACACTGTATTGTTTCCGAAATTTCGATTTTTAAAATAAGAAGTCGGAACCCGGTTACATTTTCGTTGAAATAACTACCAAAGCCGCAGGATAAAATTATTAAAGGTATTTAAAAAACAAACATATAAAGGTATTAATAAAAAATAAAAAAAGGTAAAAATATAAAAAGGTATTTATCTGTCGAAATATGCTTAATATGTAGCTATTTATTTAACTGCACAAGTTAAACTTTAAGCTACTTTAAGAGTCAGTATGGTACAGTCAGGTGTATTTAGGAGCGGTACAACGTCCGTCTCATATCATTGAGAATTTAGCCAAGCAAACAAACTACGCCAGTGTCAATAAAAAGGCATGTTAGAAGGGGAGCGGTTACTTTAGGGACGCGCGATTGCACCATCTTAATTATCTGGGAACCGAGAAATAACAGATGAAGTTTTCGTGATTCTGGAAAAGAAGTATGCGGGAAACCCGAAATTGCGATTGGAATTAACCGTGACCTAAGAAAGTGCCCAATTTTTACCTGAGAAACTCGCAATGAGCACCCCCTCCGTTATCGACCTTATTTTAAGTGACCAAACTCAGGCAGGTGGTATTAGGTGATTTTATGGTGGATAAATATTGAACCATGGCCGATATAGGCAAAGTACACAAACTGCCGCTGCCGACGTTGTCAGTGCGGATAGCAAACAATAACGGGTCACTGTCGTCGTCACAGCCACCCGCAGTGCCATAGGTAGCCTGGTGAGAGAGGTTGTTGTTCAGCTTAATCCTGCTGATCAAGATCGGAAGCACGTCTGCCCGTATGTATTCTAGTTTATACTTGTCTGCCATCTTTTCTATGAATCTGTCTGTTGGTCGCTATTCACTTCTCCGCTTATATTCATAATGCTTATATAATATATAATAATATATAATAATATTTATAATGCTTCTTCTGTCTTGATATTTAACAAATATTTTTATTCAGGGGATATATACGCACACGCGCACACTCTCTCCATCTCTCTCTTTTTTCTCCATCTTCTTTCAAACGTGTTTCTGTCTCTTTTTCGCCGTGTTCTACGTGCATGTGCGCATATGTGCATTGGTTGCGTGTGAGTTTGTAGTGGTGTGCGCGCGGCGCTGTGACGTGGGCGTGGCTTGTGCTGTGTGCGTGTGTGTGTGCGCGCGCATGTGTTGTGTGTGTGTGTGTGTGTGTGTGTGTGTGTGTGTGTGTGTGTGTTGTGTGTGTGTGTGTGTGTGTGTGTGTGTGTGTGTGTTACTTCTCTCATACTACTGTATATACAGAAATTGGTACATGCATACAGTATGCGTAAGATCCGGAACATTGTCACGGAAAAAGTGACCATAGGAAAAGAAATGAGGAGAATGTGGTAAATTAAAATGATGAACAGCAAGAAAGAATGATAGAGTTGAGGAAGAAGGAGAGGAGAGCTGCGACGGTAGATGAGGAAGGGCGAAGGAAGAAGAGGAACGAAGGAGAGGAGTCCTCCTCCTCCTCCTTCTCAGCTTCATCTTTCTCTTCCTTCGGGCTCCTGCTTCTCACCGTCCTTTCTATCGCTTCCAATTCTTACGCTCATGCTCTCCCTCGCCTAAATATTATCAAACTCCCCTGTTTCCTTATGTCTCCCCTTCTCTCTCATCCTCACTTTCTCCGCCCACTTCTATTCTCCTCTTCGCTGATCTCACCGCCTTCTTTTGTGGTAGCAAAAGAAACTCACTTGGTGGTTTATTGGCGAGGACCAATTTTTTCCGTGTGACAAATTTACCTGCGGCCAATTTTCCGCGTGATAAATTTTCCTGTGACAAATTTGGCCTACACCACTAGTATGCATATATCTTTACATTTATAAATCTTGCATAAATCCGTGTAACACTTGGCTTGGACCGGTAGGCATGCCCCTGTGATATACGTGCCTTGGCTGCTATATGCTCCTTTATCTCAAACTATGATCCCTAGGGAACTGTTGTCATATCGCCAGCATAGACTGCCGAATCAATAATTTCATCGCCTCCGTATACCTCGCAACCGCCGTACGTACCTGTATATTGATGTATGTTGAACCCGCATTATTAGTTGGTAGTTGATGCATGGTCAACACGCAGTCAGTACGTGCTGGGCGTTTTTCGCCATCATTGCCTAAATTTAAATGCTTAAGAGTAAGAAGATGTGCGGTTTTCTTAAGCCAAACAACGTCATCTTAAGCCGCACACGATCATAATACCAACTCTCTCCTGAGACCTACAAATCCCGCCCCCCCCCCCACTCCTAGGTCGGAAGGACGCATGAGCGTTCCCAAAATCTCCGGTAAATAGTATTTTTCGCGCGACGAAATCGGCCCAAGAATTGTAAAAAAAGGGGGGTATTTGACTTTTCACCCGGAGATTTCTTTAAAAAGGGCGGTGTTTTTCCTCTCTCTCTTTCATCTTGAATATCATAGAAAACTTTATCCAATCCCGGGATCAATTCCTGAAATTCCTGCTAGTTTTGAAAGCTCATTCAGGATTATTTAATTTTGAAAAATAAAATATTGCTCCCTAGTTCCCCTCGATCACTGAACTCTACACTACGTAGTGTAGACTGGTACCCGGTCGACAGTTCCACACGCTACACTAACCGTCACTACGTCAGTGTAGCGAAGGATACGTACGGAGTGAAGTGTGCGAACGGGTACCAGTCTATACGTAGTGTTCCGGATATAGGGGGGTTCTCCAAGGCAGGAAAAACCCGCAAAAGCCCCGCGAAAGGGGGGTTCAGAAATTTGGCAGTCCTGAGATAGGGGGTGCTTTCAAAGGGAGGGAACGAGCATATGCGTACCCTAAATAACACTGAGTGGGGGGGCGGGTCCAAATCCACCAGGTATCTAACTTCTCCTATAATAAGCTCACATTCTGCACATGATGTAAGTTTAGCACAGCATGGCACTCCAATGTTATTTATAGGCGGTGAAACTCGGCATATAATATGAGAGCATGTATATTTAAGGTATAGGTAGGCATAAACCCTCACATAAACGATTATGCAGATATAAGCAACCATAAATTTTTATTTTTATTTTTTCAATCAAAGAAAGTTTCTTGTTCCTTCATCTACATAATTGTACGTTAAACAATCGTTTAGTAATGTTTTATGCTCAACTATAACTGAATTTCTATGTTATTACAGTATGCTTCGGATTTTGGAATTAATTTTTCTAATGCGATAAATTTAAATAAATTGTGGTTGCTGCGCACGTGTGTATACTTATATAATGTTATACTTTTCACGTACCGGACGATTACGAAACCATCCGGAAACAATAGCCTCGTTCACACGAGACCTCGTATTTTCTTAAAATACCGGATTTGCGAATACCGTATCTGAGACAAATACGCGCCGAGCGTTCACACGCTGATTCGCGGCTCCAGAAATACGGTTATTGCGAGCTGCGAGCTGCTTTAAACAATCAAGCGAACAATGCGAAAATAACAATGCAATGCGCGCGCACCAACTGCCGATAAAATACGTAGACTGGTACGCGCTCGTCAGTTCACTCGCGTTACACTGGAACTGTCGAGCGCGGACCAGTCTATAAAATACGCGGCTTCAGAAATCCGCGGTATTTAGCGTTCACACGGGGAAATGCGCGGTCCAAGAAATCCGTATTTCTCAAGCACGGCAAATTATTCGGGGTTTGGGAAGCCTCGTATTTACATGAAATACCGGATCTGTTTAGATACCGTATTTCTTGGTCCTCGTATTTTGCCTCGTGTGAACGCTAAATACCGGATTTCTTGCTACGTGTGAACGCGGCTAATGCTAGCCTATCTTATTATTATCTTATTACATAGATTGTAGGAATGTGTGTTAACTGTGTTTTTTCCTTAGCTTTCGACACCTGACATTATCTAAATATGGTCAAGAGTCCATAATAGAAACTTCTCTATTGTGGACTCTTGATATGGTTATGCCGCTGACCGCAGTATTCAGATTTATTACAGTAGGCCCGTGGGTAAGGGGGGGGGGTCGGAGGGGTCAGACGAGCCCCCCATGACAGCCGGTTGTCCGCATTTTTTATGCCAGGTATTTACCCAATTATCCGTCTGAATATATGTTCTAAACTATTAATTATTACTGTTTAATTCAGTAAACTAAATTATGCATGCAGAATGCGTTTATTGTACAGAAGTCCGAATTCAGAGATCTAAGCAAATGAGGGTGAGAGATAGACATATACTATAGTTAGTACATCGTTTGGAGCTGCTATGGCTGCCAGGCACGGCCGGTGTGACGACACTCCTGTTGTTTTTCGTAAAGCAGCTGCGTGATTTCCAGGAATCTCAAAGTTTTGGCATTCAAACACTATGCAGTCAGTCTAATGCCACCAAGAGCTAATAATACCTTAGAGATGAACATCTAATAATATAGCGTTTCGTATTACGTTATCAGGCGTACTGTACGTGGCCTATAATACAGATTTACATGACAACATCGCAATTTGTACTTTCACCCCAGGTTTTATAGCGCATGATGCAGATATAAGCAGATAAATAAAAATAGTGTTCTACTGGCATTAATACGTGAGAAGAAGCTCTCTGCTCTCGTTATGATACACGCGCACTATGACATTTATATTGTAAATCTAGAAGTGGCTGTCAACATCTTCACCACACTCCATTCAATGAAACTGAGACTAAACGACATACCGGAGAAGCTACTGCAAGTTCTATGGAGTTTTTCTTGCTTATATTTATTTTATATTAGGGTGTTGTTTATGTATTGACCAATGCACTGATTATACGAACTATGACATTCTCATGTTTGTACACATTTCATACAGTTTTTTCTAAATACATTATTCTGATAATATTTACAGTGTGTCTGTGACATTATTGCGTTACACAGACAAAGTTGACTGGCTCCAAAAGTTCACCTTCCGATGAAAAAGACGCACCCCTCCTGAATGTTTGTTACGGGCCTGTGCAGCATTGCCGTAAGGTGTCGGGGCTGCGAAATAAACACTGAGTTAACATCATTCCTACAAGGTAAACGAATAACTCTTGATATGAGAATCTAGGGTGGTCTATAGAGACACGCATGTTGCCAAGTTTAATTCCATGCATGTACATAGAGTCTATGTAAAGAATGTGCGATGCTAGCACGTCGGGAGGCGTTATAGCAATGTGCGCTGACGGTGTTTCACCTGGGAGTTGGTATGAACTTTCTCTTGAGGTTGCTGCAAAGATTTTCACTGGTTCATCTTACTGCTGCAGCGCCATTAGTGGCTATTGGCGGAAGGCGGGACTATATGACGCTTTAGCCAAGGTACTTCCTTATTGTTCCGAGGTTACACTCGAAGCAATCACCCTGAGCAGTGCGCAAGATATAGTTTCGCTCGAAAGTTAGAAGAGGAGTGGTCGCTATAACACATGTAGGCGATGCAAAAGTAAAATAAAGCGGAGAAACAAGTCTCTCCCTACTGCAACCTTCCTCTCTCCCTTCCTACAGCCACCTTCGTTCTCCCCCTCCATCTCACCCATTACCGCCCTCACTCTCCCCCTTTCTCTCCGTCTTCCGTAATTAGTCATTTCACAGGCACACAGGAACACACCCATGAACAGACATAGTTATATTTATTTAGTTTTTTGTTATTTGTTTTTAGTTATTTGTTTTTTTCATTCCTGAACTGAACTGTGTGTTGGTGTCTGTGTGCGCGCGTGCACATATAATAGTATCAAGAGCTCATAATAGAGATTATTACTCTCTATTATGTACTCTTGATAGTATATAATATATATATATACTATATAACTAAATAAATAAACAAATAATAATATATAGATAACTAGAGCACTCGGAGAGCACATACGTAGTGTTCCGGATATAGGGGGTTCTCCAAGGCAGGAAAAACCCGCAAAAAGCCCGCGAAAGGGGGGTTCAGAAATTTTGGCAGTCCTGAGATAGGGGGTGCTTTCAAAGGGAGGGAACGAGCATATGCGTACCCTAAATAACACTGAGTGGGGGGGGGGCGGGTCCAAATCCCACCAGGTATCTAACTTCTCCTATAATAAGCTCACATTCTGCACATGATGTAAGTTTAGCACAGCATGGCACTCCAATGTTATTTATAGGCGGTGAAACTCGGCAATATAATATGAGAGCATGTATATTTAAGGTATAGGTAGGCATAAACCCTCACATAAACGATTATGCAGATAAAGCAACCATAAATTTTATTTTTATTTTTTCAATCCAAAAAAGTTTCTTGTTCCTTCATCTACATAATTGGTACGTATAACAATCGTTTAGTAATGTTTTATGCTCAACTATAACTTGAATTTCTATGTTATTACAGTATGCTTCGGATTTTGGAATTAATTTTCTAATGCGATAAATTAAATAAATTGTTGGTTGCTGCGCACGTGTGTATACTTATATAATGTGTATACTTTTCACGTACCCGGACGATTACGAAACCATCCGGAAACAATAGCCTCGTTCACACGAGACCTCGTATTTCTAAAATACCGGATTTGCGAAATACCGTATCTGAGACAAATACGCGGCCGAGCGTTCACACGCTGATTCGCGGCTCCAGAAATACGGTATTTGCGAGCTGCGAGCTGCTTTAAACAATCAAGCGAACAATGCGAAATAAACAATGCAATGCGCGCGCACCAACTGCCGATAAAATACGTAGACTGGTACGCGCTCGTCAGTTCCACTCGCGTTACACTGGAACTGTCGAGCGCGGACCAGTCTATAAAATACGCGGCTTCAGAAATCCGGGTATTTAGCGTTCACACGGGGAAATGCGCGGTCCAAGAAATCCGGTATTTCTCAAGCACGGCAAATTATTCGGGGTTTGGGAAGCCTCGTATTTACATGAAATACCGGATCTGTTTAGATACCGTATTTCTTGGTCCTCGTATTTTGCCTCGTGTGAACGCTAAATACCGGATTTCTTGCTACGTGTGAACGCGGCTAATGCTAGCCTATCTTATTATTATCTTATTACATAGATTGTAGGAATGTGTGTTAACTGTGTTTTTTCCTTAGCTTCCGACACCTGACATTATCTAAATATGGTCAAGAGTCCATAATAGAAACTTCTCTATTGTGGACTCTTGATATGGTTATGCGGGAAGATCAGAGCGAGCAGCCCCGCACTGACAGCCGCGTTGTCCGCATTTTTTATGCCAGGTATTTACCCAATTATCCGTCTGAATATATTTCTAAACTATTAATTATTACTGTTTAATTCAGTAATAACTAAATTATGCATGCAGAATGCGTTTATTGTACAGAAGTCCGAATTCGAGAGATCTAAGCAAATGAGGGCTGAGAGATAGACATATACTATAGTTAGTACTCGTTTGGAGCTGCTATGGCTGCAGGCACGGCCGGATGTGACGACCTCCTGTTGTTTTTCGTAAAGCAGCTGCCGTGATTTCCAGAATCTCAAAGTTTTGGCATTCAAACACTATGCAGTCAAGTCTAATGCCACCAAGAGCCAATAATACCTTAGAGATGAACATCTAATGAATATAGGTTTCGTATTACGTTATTCAGGCGTACTGTACGTGGCCTATAATACAGATTTACATGACAACATCGCAATTTGTACTTTCACCGCAGGTTTTATAGCGCATGATGCAGATATAAGCAGATAAATAAAAATAGTGTTCTACTGCATTAATACGTGAGAAGAAGCTCTCTGCTCTCGTTATGATCACACGCGCACATATGACATTTATATTGTAAATCTAGAAGTGGCCTGTCAACATCTTCACCACAACTCCATTCAATGAAACTGAGACTAAACGACATACCGGAGAAGCTACTGCAAGTTCTATGGAGTTTTTCTTGCCTTATATTTATTTTATATTGAGGGTGTGTTTATGTATTGACCAATGCACTGATTATACGAACTATGACATTCTCATGTTGTACACATTTCATACAGTTTCTTCTTAAATACAATTATTCTTTAATATTTACAGTGTGTTTGTGAACAATGCGTACACAGACAAAGTTGACTGGCTCAAGAAGTTCACCTTCCCGATGAAAAAGACGCACCCTCCTGAATGTTTGTACGCGGGCCTGTTGCAGCAGTGCGTATAGTGCGGGGCTGCGAAATAAACACTGAGTTAACATCATTTCCTAAAGAGTAAAACGAATAACTCTGATATGAGAATCTAGGGTGGTCCTATAGAGACACGCATGTTGGCCAAGTTTAATTCCGATGCATGTACATAGAGTCTATGTAAAGAATGAGCGATGCAGGGCACGTCGGGAGGCGTTAAGCACATGTGCGCTGGACGTGTTCACCTGGGAAGTTGTATGAAAACTATTCTCTGAGGTTTGCTGCAAAGATTTCACTGGTTCATCTTAACTGCTGCAGCGCCATTAGTGGCTATGTGGCGAAGGCATGGACTATATGAACGCCTTAAGCAAGGTACTCCTTATTGTTCCAGAGGTTACACTCGAAGCAGATCACCCTGAGCAGTGCGCAAAGATATAGTTCGCTCTCGGAAGTTAGATAGAGGAGTGCGTCGCTATAACACTATGTAGGCGATGCCAAAAGTAAAATGAAAGCGGAGAAACAAGTCTCCCCTACGCAACCTTCCTCTCTCCCATTCCACAGCCACCTTCGTTCTCCCCCTCACATCTACCATTACGCGCCCTCACTCTCCCCCTTTCTTCTCCGTCTTCCGTAATAGTCAATTTCAAGGCACACAGGGAACAACACCATGAACAGACATAGTTATAGTTTATTTAGTTTTTGTTATTTAGTCTTCTAGTTATTTGTTTTTTTTTCAATTCCTGAACTGAACTGTGTGTTGGTGATCTGTGTGCAGCGCGTGCACATACAATAGTAATCAAGAGCTCATAATAGAGATTATTACTCCTCTTTGATGTACTCTGATAGTATATAATCAACTCATAATATTACGTACTATAGCACTAAATAAATAACAAATAATGAATATAATAGATAACATGAGCGCAACTCGGGAAGCACAGACCTCCGCAAGGCAGCTGAATTTAAATGACGTCGACACTAGTAAAGTTATTTAATTAATATTAATTAATTAAGCTAGAAGTTTTTTAATTAATTACATTAATTACATTAAGTTAAATAAATTTAATTGGATCGGATCACCACACAATAGATGTAATCAAGTTCTAAGATTACACCACCATTGTCTGACCTACTCCTGAAAATTTTATATTAATTACTTGGCGTCAGGATCACAACGAAATATCTCATACAATACCTAAGTTAGGCGATATTCTGGACCTATCGGCTCGAAAAATTTATGACAATCCGCTCAAGAACTTTTTCAGTTAAGTTTGCTGTACGCAACAAACACGCAAATACGCCACAAACCATACAACAAACGTGCATAACACACGCCAGAGTGAAAACTTCTAACGTCCGCCACACATCACGTTCGGCAGGTATGAGGCTTGTTGTTTGCTGTAGTAATTTCGATTTTGTTTTATGGTTTGATTTTATCGATAACCTAACATTGATTTATCACATATACATTCGCATTATCACTATATATCATTCCGATCTTATTCAAATATACAGTCGGATTTATCACACTATAACCAATTCGATTTATCGCGATATTATTGACTTTTATATCAGAAAGAGAATCGAATTGATTCGGAATGCGTGAATCGAATGATTCGATGCCGTGAATCGAATGATTCGATGCGTAATCGAATGATGCCATGCGAATTGATTCGATATCACGCATCGAAATGATTCGATTCTACGCAATCCGAATGATGCATCGAATCATTCGATGCGTGAATGAGTTTGATCGTGAATCGAATGATTCGATACGTGAATCGAATGATTCGATGCGTGAAGTCCGAATGATTCGTGCGTGAATGATTCGAATGATGCGAGCATCGAATCATGGTCGATTCGCGCGATCGAATCTTCGATGGTCAGCGGCATGCGAATGATGACATCGAATGATTCGATCTGCGTCGAATCGAATGATGTGTCGGATATCGATGAATT